CATAGTAAAATAGTTGTTTGTTTGATATGTGGTATTTGTTGTGTTGTAATTGGTTTGGTTTTCACAATATAATTGCTTTTGCCAATTAGGACCTTTATGCCCCGTCCTACCCTACTCATTTTTATATATTTATATATTTATAGGTATATAATGTGTGTGAGTAAGTGTACATTTGCACATGCAAATATAAACTTGAAAAGTTTAATTGTATATGTCTATGTATGCAAGTCGATTAGCAAATTCAGGATCTAAATTTATTGGCCTCAAATGATGTTTCGATAATTATTTGAATTCTGCGATTAAGGTTTTGCACGTCTATGACTGTCCAATTATGCTCACATGCTCACATATTTCTATGCTTCCTTATTGGTCGTTAAGATCTGCATGAAAGTTAATTATCCCAACTAATTAAATGCAAAATAACATTAACTTTTGATGGATAAGTATCCTCGCGATTGTTAATAATTTTATTACTTAACGTAATAAGCGTTAATTGTTTTCAGTTAACGATGCGCACGGTCGAGTAAAAATAATGTTAATAAAATTACATTTGATACTTAACAATTGGTGTTATGTGAATTCATTCCACTAACATTAAGTACTCTCATAATTAGTGGCAATGATTGCATGGCAATTATTACCATAGAACTTATTTATGTGATGAGAACGGACAATTAATCTTTCTTTTTTCTGTTTATTACAATTTAAATATTTATTATGATTATGTAATTATTTAATTTAACGGATTTAAATGAAGTAACTGATTATATTTCAAATTAGGATTCGTATTTGGGAAATCGATTATTCTCAATAGTTAGTTAGTTACCCATATCTTTGGAGAATGGTGAAAATAAATACTAAACTTTATTAAGCGATTATCATGAATAGATAATAATTTTTTTTTATTAACTCTTTTATTTACAACTGTCCAGTAAAGGACATTTAGTAAATTTAATGACTTTACAATAGTCCGCCAAGAAGGGACATTGTATACTATATTGTCATGTTGGAAAAAACAACTCAGTAGTTGTTTTTTCCTTCCTATATAAAATTTACAATATTTTATTATTGAATAATTACTTATAAATAATGATTAAGTTATTTCTATTTTTTTTTTCCTAGGAGAGTTGATGGCTTAGATCCAATGGCGCTTTTCTTTTCAATCTTCTTCGATAGTTCTCTGTTATCAATGAGTTTGCTAATGTATTTGTGTGATTGATTAGATAATAATGATGTTTTTTTTGCGCTCATACCAAATACAAAACTGAATCTGAAAACTGAAAACATTATTATAATGAATGAAATATTAACTCAATGCTCACAAGGAGAACCTAAGATATACTCTTTTGAGATTTTGATGAAACTTTCCATGCTGATATAGTTTATAGTCAAAAGTGGTTTAATTGCCAAGTATAAATAAACATTTCAAACCAAGTTATGTAAAATTATTATTTTTGCGTTGAACTTTTTAATTTCATATTATAATTCTTTCTCTTCCTTTTTCTTTATTCGGGATCACTTAATTAGTTATTTTTCTGGAAATTTATCTAAATGGGTATTTTCTTCATATAGAGTATTATTTTTACTGTATTAGAATAACAGTTTGTAAATATAAACCCAATACTTAATTATTAAGTCATGAGCGCAAATTTAAATTTTTTTATCTAAAATATTTTTTGATTTTTTTTATTTCTGTAAATTGGTTATTATAATACATAAACTTCATGACTACACTTCCAATATTTTTTTGTTGAAACGTATTCATAAACGACCAAAAGTTGAAAATGAAATTTTTACATATCTTCACGTTTTGCAGGTTTCTGAACATTATGGCATACCTTAGAAAAAATGGATGTGTGTGTAGTGTGTGTGTGTATGTATGGATACATTTTTTGTCCACGTTTTCGGGAGCAGGGAACAACCGATTTGGAATATTCTATTCCAAAAAGTATTCTATTCCAATTGATGGTCCAAAGGTAAAAGTTGGTCCAGACGTTTCGGAGATACGGAGCAAAGAGTGCAGATAATGGAAATTAAGTTTTTGAGTGAACAGAGCATCCGATTTGAATGATTAAAAAAATATCCAATTCGTAATGATGAGAAGACGCGGTGATTAGTTTTTGGCGAAGACAGACCTAGCCGCTTCAGAGATAAGGAGCTAAAAGTGTAAAAAATGGCAGTTATTGAGAGAATAAAGCAACCGATTCGAATGATTCAAAACACATTTTGCTTGTGAAGAAACGGTTAGTTTTCTTAGACGAAAAAATCTATTTTTTGAAAAAAAAAAACATTTTTTTTTAATATCAGAAATGATTTGGATTTTGATTTTAACTCTAGCTAAAATTTTATAAAAATTTATTTTATATACTTCAAATAAGAAATATTTTTCTTCGTCTCTCGTTTTTTTTCAGAAAAGCGTTCAAACTTTTTAAAAATTTCTGCTCTAATCGAAGAGTTAATATCAAGTTTCATAAAATCAAGACACAAAATTATTTTAGTATTCCTTCATTTGTATATCGTATTTTGGTTGGTTTGTTATCTTTGAAAATTGTGAATTATACATCTAATACATCTAATACTTAATTTTAACTTTGCTATATCTAATACTTTAAAGAAATATGAGATAACATCCATCACTCTAACTCCGCTTCATTAAGTTTTGTTTATTTACTTTTCAGGTAAACAGGTATAAACTTCTTCATAACTACTTCTTTGAGTCATGAATTGCAGACTACTTCTTGTATCATCGATACTTTGCCACGCACCCTCGCATTTTTCCCTGGAAAATTTTCCTCCGTCGGATGCTCCGGGCAGCCGGATAATAGAACGGGTGTTCTCAGCGTTGAGTTTTCTTAGTTCCTTTAATGGAATCCGGTCGAGCTTTGTCGGCCTAAACAAATCAGCGTTTTATCGTCGCCATAAAATCGCCAGCAATTTCAATTACGACACTCGGTGTCGATACATGCGAATACAGAATAATAATCATTACTTGCAGTTGTTATTTTATAGTTTTTAATGGCAATTTCACATTTAATTGTGGTGCTGTGTTTTTATTTTCTATAATTGAACGTACAAGAGAAGCTGAATGCGCTGCGCAGCTCCTCCGCCTTGCGATTCCCGCCGTAAATGTTTGTTTGATTTGGTACCAGTTAGATCGCATGGGCGTTGAGGATATTTATTCGAATTTATCGTCTTTTCATTGCTTGTATTGAAACTTCATCACATATTGGCTCAGATATTCACGACACTGCGAAGTGGTTATATCTGCATCTAAAGTATTACTTTGGGGAAGCAGTCAGAGCAGAAGATACACTTCAACAGAATACCGTTCGAAAACACGATTCCTTTATTATTACTTTTTTCCTTGTCAAATTAAATGTTTAATTACTTTTATTTTATCATAATCTTAAATACTTATTTACGAAGTTTAAAACTTAACAAACAAATTTGGTATCTTTTAATACAAAACGTTTTTTGGAGTCCAACCTAGCTTAGGTTAGTCAACGGTTAAGAGTACCAGAATCAGTTGAATTTTGCTAAAATGAACCTCTCACCAATCTCCATTGAGATTCATCGATTTATAAATTTATTTATTACCACCAATTAATATTAAAATAATGGTAACCAGTTCATAATCTTACGTACTGTTGATATGTCAGTACCTTCGTTATACACATCGTTTGAAAACTATCTGAATTAGATAGAATTTGTGCAATTTTTAGTGTGACAAAAAAACTGCATTTTCATATTGAACTGAAAATCAATCTACAATCATTCAAATTTTTATTACGTAATCATTCTTATTTTTTTACACAAGTTTTGCTATATCAATATGTTTCCAAGTAAAAATTCCAAAAAAATATTCCATTGGATTATTGCTGCAATTTTTTCATTAGAAAGGTGACCAGGGGGTTGCCTTTCAATAGCGTGCAGCATTAAAATAATAAAAAAAATTATGTCGATAGTAGGGAGGGTGTCTAGATAGTAAGAGCTTCTCAAATAAAACACTAGACTTCTCGTGAATTCTAAATTATTGTTTTTTCTTCGATTCTAACTTTTTTTTTTCTCTTTTTGTAAAACAATAGCCTTTAAGATATCATTGTATCTTAATTGCTATTTTAAAAAATAAAAAAAGATAGTATATAAGTAAGCTTTAGAACTTTTCCCATAATTAAAATTAAAATCCGAATTATTTTTGGTATAAAAAAAACTTTTTTCGAAAAATATTTTTTTCCAAAAGCAATTCTTTCGTCAACACAAGCAGAAAGTATTTTGAATTGTTCAAATCGGAATCTTAGTTCTACCAAAAGGGCTGACAAAGGCTGGACCTGCCTTTACTATCATCATCATTACGAATTGAATGTTCTTTGGATCATCACAAATTGGATGCTCCGTTCTCTCAAAAACTCGATTTATATTTTTTGCACTCTTTGCTCCGTATCTCCGATACAGCTGGACCTGCCTTTGCCAAGAACTAAGCAGCACATCTCCCTATCAATAGGAATCGAATGTTTTTTGGAACCATCCAAATCGGTTGATCCGTGTGTCTAAAAACCTGGACGAAAAATTGCGGGCACACAAAAAACGCACACATCCATTTTTTAAGGTTGCCAAAATATTCAGTAATCTTTAAAACGTGAAGATATGCAAAAAAAATTAATTTCGATTATTGGACGATTACAATAACTTACCCTACGGGAAGTTAAAAAATAATGGATTACCTTCTGATTGCGTCGTTCTTAGAATCTACAACTATATAATATAATAGTTCTAATTGCTGTAAAATAACAAACAAAAAATTTAAAAAAAAATTTGCTGTGAGAGTTTTAAAAAGTATTTTGCTGTTAAATTTAAAATTATTTTCAAAAGTGTTAAAGTGGTTTCAAAATAGTTATAATAATTATTAACTTTTTGAACAACCTACTAATAGTTTTTATCAGTTGTTGCCTATTGATTTTGGATGTCTTACTAAGAATGTTTTGATTTTATTCTGATTACAGGTCCTCGATCTCGAAGGCCTAAAAAAGCACCTAGTGATAAAGCTCCTGGAACGACTACCAGCGCGGAAGAAAAGCGACCTCGAACGGCGTTTAGTGGTCCACAACTTGCCAGGCTTAAGGTAAAGAAAATATTTTTTTTCACCTAATTACACAGTTATGTTTTCCATTAAATTAATACTTCAATAACTTATGAGAATCAAAACTAATGAGTTGTCTTTCCTTTTTTCCAGCACGAGTTTGCAGAGAATCGTTACTTGACGGAAAGGCGGCGGCAGCAGCTGAGTGCAGAACTTGGTCTGAATGAAGCCCAGATAAAAATCTGGTTCCAAAACAAAAGGGCCAAAATTAAGAAAGCATCAGGCCAAAAGAATCCCCTCGCTCTCCAACTGATGGCTCAAGGCTTGTACAATCATTCCACAGTGCCTTTAACCAGGGAAGAAGAAGAGCTGCAGGAGTTACACAATTCTTAAATAGCAATTTGATGTGAAGTGACTGTTTTTAGTACAATTGAAGTGATTATGTGAAATATTTATAAACTTATTGAAAATGGTGATATTAAAACAAGTGTGGACTTGAGTGAAATCTGAGACGAAGAAATATTTTCTCTTAGAAAACTTGTCATATCGAACAGAGTTTTATTAATAGTTATTTGTAATATGTGCTCGATCTTGTAAAAAGTGCGGAATTATTAAGATATAAATATATTATTGTGTTTGTATGTACCTACTAGCAAAAAGTGATTAGCAAAATACATATGTATATTATTGATATTATTATTATTTATAAAACAAATTCTTGATTGAGTTCAATAATGAATTCAACATGTTGTAATTTGATACCGTACAGTCGTAAAATGAAATCGGTATTAATAATATGTGTCATGCATTTCGTCTTAATCATTTACGACCAATTTGGCTTTCTTAAGCAGGTACGACTCAAATGGAGCATGGACTATGCAAAATTCAGTTCAATAAAAACGTGTAAAAATTTTGCTCTTAAGAAAATGGCACACACGTTAATTTTAAGCAGCTTCATTTTATTAAATGGCTTTACTTAATTGTGATTGAACCAAAAATTTTTAGTTACCCTTTTCAACTATTAGTCAGCAATTTTTATTTTGTAAATGATTAAGACAACTTGGTGCACTTAAAACACGTGATTAACGTTAACGATATTGTCGATACATATAACTTTCTATTGAACATTTGTAAATATTTTCAAAATTTTACTATCACATAGTTAAATGTATAATAAATTTTATACTAAAATTTCAATTAAAATATGCATCGACAACGTTAACCAATCTCGTACTATTAAAAACTACCTATTTATAAATAATTGTACGTAGAAGAGAACTTAAAGAAAATTTAAAATAGCATTTTGAAATATTTCACCATTGTTAATAATTATTACTACCATTAATAATAATAATTTATTATCTATATTCTCGCCGTCTACAAAAAGCTATAACAGTTAGTATAGAATTTTATCTGAGCGAATTATTGATATGAGAGGATCATTATAGATATTTGAACAAGAACTTAATAGAATATGAGAGAGACAGATTTTTTTTATAAAACTATGTCAATTATTCGATAATTGTTTAGAGTTCCGTATGACTAATATTGAGCCCATTGTCGTTATTTATTTGTACTGCATGCCTGCACATTTATTGTCGTTGGTTTATATTTTTGAAATTAATTCACAAAAAAGTAATTGACTTAAAAATTTGATTATCAATGTAGAATATATGTTAGTGTTCTTAAAGCTTTTGGATTTTTAAAAATTTTATCAAAAAAAATATTTTAATTACCAAAGAATTTTCAGACTAACTAAATCAAAATTCAAAATTAGTTGTAGACATCGTGAGTGTAATCCGTAAGTATTACGTTTATTCATATTTTACTGTCTTATTTTTACATAATATCAATTGCATATTAAAATGTGGTTAGAGTTTTGCAAAATTTTTAGTTTCGCAAAAATTAAGTTTTACCTTCTATCTCTCCCACATTCAGGTAAGTTACCGTTTACATTTCTTATTTAATGTGACGATGATCCAAATAAATATCTTGAACGAAAAAAAAAAAATTACCGAAAAATTCAAAATGTAATTATTTCATAGTCAATTATTAATACAATTTTGAAAAGTATTTAATTTATTTGTTGCCAAAAGCTAACTGAGCCATAAAAGATGAAAACTTCTTTGTTAATTTTTGTGAAAATGACGGAAACCAACGTCATATATATTTATTATAGTTTGTATATTGTTATGTACAGTGATGTTGAGGGACACAATCGTCTTAGAAGCTAATAAAATCCAAAAATATATTTGTAAATAACATTATCAAATTTTTCCATACAAACTGATGACAAAATATCACATCGACGAGGCTAATGTGGAATTTCAATGTGAATTTGAAAATAATAAAATATGGACTTCATAAAAAATATTTTAAATATTTCATAATTATTTTCCCAGTTCGGGCCTGGTATCAAAATATTTCAATTTTATTAGTTTCTGATATAGTACGTAGTGTCGCTCCTTGTATATATACGTTTTCATGTTATAAATAGTCGAAGTAGTTAAATGTGGTCTTTGAAAAATTTATAACGCATTCCAGAAATAATTGAGATCACTTTACCACACATTTATTTTTCATTAATCTCTCATTAATGAATTCAAAAATTTATTATTTAATTTGAAACAATAAAGTATCCTAAGAGATATGTAAAATTAATCTTATTTATATTAAATCTTAAAATTTGTATATAGGATTATTATTAGAATTAGAATTCTACGGTGATGAAAATTCGTGAGAATTTTCAATTTCAAATTGACTGTTCACATATAAAAATATCATCGCAAGTGAATGTAATATTAAAACATATTTATGTAAATAAAATTTGCTCCATCTAATGTCTAAATTTGTTATTTCATTTAATTTTTTTATTTTTGCAATAGTAAATCGTTCAGTTGCAGTTCTGAATTCTAGCAGTGTGTTTGTTCTCTGTGAATAGAAAGCAAAATGTTTATTTGTGTGAATGAAGGCACATTGTGTGATGTAACAACTTATATATATATATATATTAGTAGTTACCATAATACAAAGTGTTTTATATGTTATTTGGTTGTTACAAGAATATAACAACTAGTGTACGTGAAATAGTTCGTATTGGTAAGTTTGCATACTTAATTTTTAATCATAAACCATAATAAGAATAAACATAAATAACCATAATAAGAATAAACCTCGTAAAATTGAATAATTGTCTGAATGTTTATGTTTATAATGTAACACACATATTTACCATAATTACTTTAATTTTATTAATGATAACTTCCCGAAGGAGGTTTTAGTCAGAAAATCCGATTTGCAAAATTTGTTTTCGCGACCATAATACATAATTTACTTCAATTACTTTAATTTTGTTATTTTCTTTTCCCAAGGGAGATCTTGTTTTCGACAAAAAATCCGATTTGCTAATTTTATGTTTTCTTGGTGATCGAAGTCAGAAACCTTTGTATGTGAGCCAAAATTTGACCTTCCAAATATAAAATAATATATTATTTTCGAAATTAGCAGTTGCAAATTTTACTTTATAGCCAAATCTAACGAGAATTTGAATCAATATAAAATTTAAAATACAGTTCTATGTAAATTGTCGCCGAATGACGTAACGGTCATAATAATAATAATAATAATATTAAAAATTACATTTATATTAATTGACAAAGTTTGATGGTAGAAATTAAAAGTGTGTTATATGTTTGATCTATTTATTTATTAGTTTTTATTAATATAATTAGTGTAAAACGTACTTTTGTTTTCTCACTAAAACTGAATTATACACTCAGATGATAATCTTGAAAAAAAATTGTTTAGAAACCCAAATATCAAAAAGATTCCAAAATCATTAAATTCAAGAAAAGAAAAAAAATTATATGATTTTCACAATTTTTTAACTTTTCGTAGGGTAAGTTTTGTTAAATATTCTTACGTTTTAAAGATTTCTGAACATTTTGAATATCTTAAGAAAAAATGATGTATGCGTGTGTGTGTTCCGATACAAATTTACGTCGACGATTTGGGGAACACGGTTCAACCGATTTAATTTATTCAAAAAACGTTCGATTCCTATTGATAAGGAGACGTGCTAGTTAGTTTGTGGCAAAGGCAGGTCTAGCCTTTTTTAAGATAAGAGACAAAAAGTGCCAAAAATGCTAAATCAGTTTATGAAAAAACAAAGCAAAAAGAATTTCACCTATACTGACAAAATGAAGAACTGATAAAATTTTTGGGAAGGCAGGTCTTTGGAGATCGACTGAAAAAAGTAAAAAAATGCGTTTAGCGGTTCCAGAAATTTGCCTTAAAGCATGATGCCGTGCACCACTAGTTATTGTATGAATTTATTAAACAAGATTAACAATGATTAACGATGACACACACATAAGAAAAAAAACTTTTAGTGAAGTTTAATAAAAAAAAAGTGTTTAATTTAATAAAAAAAATCAAAGCTAAAAATGTTTAAAATCGAATATTTCAATTTCCAAATAATTAAAAAAGTGTATAAATATATAAAAAATAAGTTTTTTTTAATAGTTGAAGTAGGGGACACTTCATGTCCCCTAAACTAAGAAAATATTTATAGATGATTAAATAAATAAATTTTGGAGATTTTTGGTTCAGAAAAATTCAAGTAAAAGTAATATTTGCTATCCAGAAAAACTTGAGTATATTAATCTTATAACTTAACTAAACGCCTTGTTAATAAAACTAGTATATTTACAATTAACTTATTATTCAATATTATGTTAATTTTCTATTAAACAGCTCGGGACATCATAGCCTGGAACATAACATGATTGCAAAATAATACATAAATTATACTGATAATTACATTGTCAATGCTTGATTTAATAATTGTCGGAGATAATGATCGACTAATGACAATCTGCCGTCTCATATGATATGAGGTCGACTTTCTTGTTTCTGAATCGAAATCGGCAATATGTTTAAATCTATATATAAATATGTTTATATCTAAATCGTTTGATACATAAACTGGTATTGAAGCAGATTTATGTCACGAAATAATTTTTATGTAGTCTGTTCTTTGTATAGTATAGTTATTTAGAATAACGTCTTTGTCTTTGACGTTGACGCCAGAAGCCCAGAGCATCACCGTTGGCAGAGGTAGTTACCTATACGACATTGTTTTCTAAAAATTGATAACACTTATTATTTTTATTGTGAAATAGTGGCAGACTAGTTGTTATATGATTTTACAGTTATTTATCCCATGCATATTGATTGTATAAATAAGTTGTGAAGAAAAGGAAAAACAGTGCCAAACGAGACTATGTTAATATATAATTAATGGGGTTCAGGAAAGATGGATAAAAAATTGGCTATGTACTAAATCTAAAAACTGTATATTTTTAAGAAAAATTAAATCCTAATATTTATTTCTAATAAAAATAAAAATCATTTTATATCAACTAATATTTTTCATAAAATCAAATAAAAGTCTAATTAAACCAGATCACTCAGTAAATTCTGTTATAAAATGAATAAAAAAAATCAAAACACATCTGATGAAGGTTCCTTCTTTTGGGCTAAATTATTGATAAGTGGACGAAGAATCTATAACACCTGCTCTTGAACTTTCATCAAAATTTGGATAATTTTCAGCAATTTGGTACATAATTTTAGTCGTAGTGACGTAACCCTTATTTTTACAAACGTTTGCTTCTTTTTTCCATTTTTTTCAAAAAGGCATCTAATGAAAATTCTGTTTTACTTTTAATTTTTTGATAAATGAATAAGGCATCTATAGCACCTCGTCCTGCTTTTAAACTCATGCCAAAATTGGGATATTTTTCAGCAAATTGGTCCACAATTAGTCATAGTGGTGCAAGATCTAACAAATAAAAGTCTAATTCAATCAGAACATTCAGTAAATTCTGCAAATCTACAAACGTAAATAGGGGTTAGGTCAACGTCTTTTTTGCAATTTTTTTTTCAGAAAGTCTTCTAATGAAGTTTCAGTTTTATTTTCATTTTTTTGATAAATAAATAAAGCATCTATAACATCTCGCCCTCTTTTTGAGCACAAATTTCAAATTCAAAATTTGGTTATTTTTCAACAATCCATAATTTGTGATAGTGGTCTAAGATCTATTTACCAACACCATTGAAAATTTTTTTTGTTCTTCAACAAAATCACTGCTACCAATATTTTCGTTTTCTCCAGTGATCAATGAATTGTTTCAGATTTATTGATCTTATTATTATTATCTGTTATTATTATTAATAATTACTATTTTTATATTATCTTTATTCTTATCAATTTATTCTTTTTTTATTTTAAATACTTTGGCATAGCAGCTTATAGAATATAATTACTGTTCTGATTGCTGTATAATAATAAATGAATAAAAAAATATTTCGATTAATATGTAAAACACAACATTTTAGCAAAAAAATTTTCTATATTTATAAATATATATTATTTAAATACCTGCTAATAATTTACCCGTTGACAATAGGTGGTACAAAACGCTTGTATTGATCATTATATTCCTAAATTTATTAATAAAAAACAATAATTATTATTTAAATATAGTTGCATTCAAATAAGTTTTCCGGTAATTATTTTAATATTGCCATATCACAGATTTTATATATCGCCCATATTAGAGTACCAAAATGCTATAAATCTGGTAATACTAAAACCAAACCAATATTTCACGTAGTAGTCCTGTCGACACTTCAATAGAAAAGTTCGATATTAACATATTATCGAATTGCCTTGTATATATGTATTTGTTTATAATTTTTTCCACCCCACTAATTCAAACATGCGCAGAACACTTCTGCGCAAGTCTGGACTGTTTTGATTGGTCCAAATTAAAGGTACCAATCTGTAACAAATGAGTAATCATCATTAGCATTTCGGGTCAGCCAAAATTTTATTTTTCCAACATCTGAAAATGTCTGTCTAATTTTTACTCGTGTTTTTAAGTATGTCATTTTAAATTTTGAAAATTAGTAATTCCATAAATAAAATATGACTTCCGAGCAAGTAAGTTGCGTTTTATTTATTGGAATTCTATGTATGTTTGTGGATATCTTCTATCGGCTTACATTATGGTTCATTTTCCACATATGGAAACTTGTTCAACGCTACAATGCTGATGAGGAGGATTGTAAGTATGAATTTTCTATTTTATTTTATAGCTTTCACTTATATTACTTAATAACTATTGGAACTATTTTATTTTTAGAGGTTAGGTTTTTTCATTAAGTTATTGTCATTCTGTTACGAGTATATTTTCAGGGATTTGATTAAAGGCCTATTGAGATTATAAGTACATTTTTATACGTTTATTTTGAATGCAAAACGTGAAATAAACGTGTAGGCAAACGTTTCCAACCTTTTTTGCACTGCGCTCCCTCCTGCTCCAACAAAAAAAAAATGTTGCGCCCCCCTTAATTTAAAAAAAAATTATTAATACTCAACTGCTATTATCAGACTACAAATTAATATGCAATATTATCTAAAAGTATGCATAAAAACTCTATATATTTTTTTAATATCATTTTAAAAATGTTGGGTTATTTCCAAACATTCTGGAAACAGATGTACGCGTTCCTCTTAGAACAGTCTGGCGCTCCCCTGAGCGGGCGCGCTTCACAGGTTGGAAACCGCTGGTATAGGGACTGTAGAAATGTACCAAACTTTTTGATATTTGTATTTTGTTTTATTAACACAATATTATCGAAAATTTTGCATATGGTCCATGATAACTTTATTAGATAATTTGGTTAACAATGCATCGAACAAAAATGTATGTATCAAAAAAAAATTTTTTTGACAAAATTCTTGGATAAACACTATTTTTTGTGTCACTCATATATGACTGATATGCCTCTATATTATTTTTTTTTCTCTCGATAAGCCGTGTCAGTCTTATATGTCAGCCAAAAAATTTTCAGGTTTTGTTCCTGATAGGCCTAGCTTTTGGCAAATGTATCGTTTGCGTCAGACATATCTGATTGACGTGTCAGACATATATGTCCGACAAAGCTTATGTTGTATTTTTAGTATCAGACACATATGACTGACACCATGAAATACGTGTCTGAGGTGACTCATGTGGTACTTTTAGCGTCAGACACATATGACTGACACAGTGAAAATCGTTTTTATATGTCGTATTCGTAAATCCTTAATATTTTAATAATATATTGAAATGATTCTAAATATTTAAATTGTGTCAAATGATGCTTCTGTACAATTTTATAAAAAAAATAGTATCCTTACCTCGTAATTGTAAATACACTTTATATCAAAAGGTATTGAATTACAGTAGAAACTCGATTAACCGGTCTAATTGTTGTCCATAGACATTCGAATAATCAAAAATCCGGTTAATCGAATATATAAAGAATAATGTTGTGTATTTATTAAAAATATCAACGAAAATCAATGTTTATTAAGAAATAAACACTTTCTTATGTTTGTACATGCATATTTCCTTAGATTACTTTACATACATATTCTAAACAACAGTATTAATAATGCAAAAATTCGAATTGTAGGTATGTAAATACATATAAATCAGTCGCGGTTGGTAGTACGGATAATCGCAAATCCGTATAACTGCGGTTCGGATAAACAAGTTTCTACTGTATAATTAAAATCTTATTCAATATTTTAAATATATCGAAAACAAATGTCTATTTTTTTAACTCTGTTTTATTCAGCATTCATTTATATATCGAAAACAAATGCCTAAATATTAGATATATTTTTTCACATAATATCAAATTTATTGATCATTTAGTATTAAACATTATATGCAAATTAAAAAAAAATCTTGTTGGAATAAACGTGCCTTTGATTATTTACCTTTTGCACTCTACAATTTATATTTTAACTGATAAAAACTTTTCATGTGAATATGAAGTCGATGATGACGTCGTTAACATCGAGGTGTCTCGGCAAATACTACTCCAGGGCGGTGATGGAAATTGGCACAACCTGCGAGCCATGAGACGAAATATCCTGGGTGAAGAAATTCCGGAACCAGAAATACCCTGGCATATAGTTCATGCCGTGAACACCAGTATTATGAGACATCGCATTAGACCAGATAACAGAGTTCAAGTTAGACGGGCAAATCGACCATATTGAAATAATTTATTAATCACTAATTTTAAGGCATTTGTTACTTTTTTATGTTCAAATCAGTTTATTCACGTCTACATTTAAAATTGTCAGTCATTCTATTTTTTGTTTTCCCAGCATAACATTTACAAAATCTGCACCGCATAAATACAGTTGTAACCATGACTAGTAACTATAAAAATACTACTTCTAGTAGATAAAAACGTAAATTGGGCTTTTATTTATACTTGTAATTTTATTAAGTTCCAGTAAGGGTAAGTCATAGTAATCGCAAAAAAATCGAAAATTAAAATTTTTGCATATCTTTACGTTCCAAGGATTTCTGAACATATTGGCACCTTAGAAAAAGGATGTATGACGTATGCATGTGCGAATGTGCGAATACTATTTTTCGTCGACGATTTCGAGAGCACGGATCTACCGATTTGAATGATTTAAAAAACATTCGGCTCTTATTGACGGGTAGACGTTCTGATTAGTTTTTTGTAAAGGCAGTTTCAGCCGTTTCGAAGATACGGGGCAAAAAAGTGCAGAAAATGTTTTTATTCAGAGAATAATGAGCACGATTTGAATGATTCAAAAAACATATCACTTATAGTGATGAAATAAATTGATTGAATTTTTGGGAAGGTCAGGAACAGAGAAAAGAGTATATAAAAATAAATTTTGGCGGTCAAAAATGATCATTAGACATATGCACATCAAATTATCAGATATTATTGTTTTCCATTTCTATGAGTTCCGTACTAAGATTTAAAACGTTTGAAGTTCAATTATATAGTTCAAGCGAATGTTCTCGATATTTTCAATTGTATGGTTGGGTTCGGTTCTCAAAATTTTCTAAAATCTCTAAAAATTCAAATAATCTTTTTTTCAAAAATTTCAAAATTTTTAGGAATCAAGTTTTTTTTAAAACTTTTAAATTTTTTAAATAACGGTGCGGGGAGATCAAGAAATTTGCTTTAAGGCACGATGCCATGCACCACTAGTTTGTACTAAAATAGCAATAGTGACGGAGAAAAAAAATTACCAAGTATTACGTGGGCTTTTATGCTATTGTGAAGCGTCAAAACAAATATTATAGAGAACTCGTGTATCAGAGTAAAAATGAAACTGTGACGTATCCGTGAGATCTTTGAGAGAAAAATTCTCGGAATGCTGTTGAATTGTTTCTAAGTTCATGAGTGCGCATTTCAATATTTTATTATAGCTACGCGGCGAGCATTGGAGTTTGCGCGGTGTTCACGCCGCGCTTCAAATCTCATTCGTTTTAGAGTACTCTGCTTTTCTAAGCAGAAAACGTGAGACGATTTTGCACTCGTTGCTATACTTAGGGCATCGTAAATGTGATATAACTGGCATAATTTAAACACACATAAAATGTTATATTAAGTGGCTGTCAAACCAATTATTATTAGTACGCGGACATCTTCAATCCCTTATTCCGCTTGCGCTTATACATTAATTGTTAACCACAGGCATTGTGATGCTGTAAATTTGATATATCCAATATTTAAGGGAGTATTCATGTCTAGAATAATTGAGAAATCGATTTTTGGTATTTTCAAAGTTTAATAATTCAATAATATGGGTACAACAGGATTTTTCAAAATTTAGATTATTTTCTTGGATCTGGTTGACCACCATAATCCTCATCTGTTTCCTTCCTCCGAGAAACTTTAAAAGCGTTTTTTTCGAAGCTGTATTTTTCGACACGATACCCACGATTTCTCAACTTCTACCAGTCTCATTTACTTGAATTTTTTGTAGAATTTTTTCTTCTTTATACAATTCTTATCAGTATGAATTACGCTCATTCCAAATTCCGATTGTTTACTATATTCAAGAATATAAAAAAAAATGTTCTTAAAAAAAATGTATATTGTCCGTAGTCCACACGAATGTGACATTATTCTTGATCATTTTTCCGTAGGGTGAGTTATAGTAAACAGCCAAAAATCGAAAATGAGAATTTTGTCGTATCTTTAGGTTTCAGAAGTTTCTAAACATTTTAGCATATCTTAGAAAAATTGGATATGTGTGTATGTAGTATGTATGTATATATAGACACAATTTTTGGTGGACGTTTTTGGGAGCACCGGTCAACCGATGTGAATTATTCAAAACACATTCGATTCCTATTGATAAGGAGACGTGCTGATTAGCTTTTGGGAAAAATTAGTCTTGCTATTTCGGAGATACGAGGCAAAGAGTGCGAAAAATAGAAATCGAGCTATTGAGAGTACGGAGCATCCGATTTGAATGATTCAGAAAAACATGCAATTAGTATTGATGAAGAAAAGTGGTGATTATTTTGGAAAAGATAGGTCCAGTCGTTTCAGGGATGCGAAGCTAAATGTGCAAAAAATGACAATTTTGAGAAAACGAGGTATCTGAATTGAATGATTTTGCTTTTGCTTGTATTGACGAAACGGTTATTTTTGGGGAAAACAAACTATTTTTTTGGAAGTTAATATTGCTATGCTAATACTAATACTAGAGTATCATATTATCAATGTTTAATCAAACATATTTTTTGAAAGTTTCTTAATTTTTGGCGCGTTTGCTGTGTGGCATTAAATATAAGACCGGAGATACCATTTGTTAAGATGTCATATGAGATCTTGAACTGTTTATAAATAAAGAACTTGTCGTTCACTTTTTTATTTCCACAATATATAAAAAAAAGTAGCGTGTCAAACACTTAAATTAGGCTGGAAGTGGAGTAGGTTCGGCTGGAACCGAGTAGCGTGCGTTAAACGGAGAAATGCGACCGACGTGATAAACACGAGCTGCGTCTGGGCCACCACATGTGGCGCGTGAATTACACGGCTTAATGACTTTCGCTATGTTATAATATGCAGAAAACTCATCTCGGCGTCGCGGCCACGGTTCAACTTGGAGTTATCATAATGAGCAAAACAATTAAACGCCGCGTCTGTTTGGAAAAACGAGAAAGCGCCGCGGTAAGAAAACGCCGTAAAAAAACGCACCGCGGCATCAGCGTCTCGCTCTGGACCGCGCTCTTCGAAGGACCGAGACGAAATGGAACGCTAAGGAAAGACGATAAAAATTTCAAAAGCGTTTGTTAAATACTCTCGCCGATTTTTCTGAAGTATATCGACCGCGGCTAAAGCGTCCATACGCGGCGTATTAAGCTCGAACATCGATTATGCGAACACACGGCAGAACGCACAGCAGTGTCCGCGGTGTCCGTCTATCCGTCTGTCGAAGTTGTACCAACACATCAATGGGCTAGTACCGAGATACGGAATATGGGGAAAACCTGGGATAGGCGATGTATATTGACCCATATTTTCATGGATAACAATCAAGTGTGATTTGAAATCAAATCTTCTACATTTTCGAATAATAAGTTTAGTACTAAACTACTTGAAGGTAAAATTTATTGATTGATAAACTTGAGATATTTTGCAATGCTTTCTTATTAAATAATAATTTTTAATACTGTCCCGAAACGGACAACAATTAAAACATTTGGTATAGAACTGAAGATGTTAGAAAAATACAAATTATCTGACCATTGTCAGTAATTAGCCAAAGGTCTTATCTATTGAATTTGGTGATTAATGCAGAAGATACTTTCTTTTCAATCTGGCCGTGGTAAAGTTTTGTAAAGGGCAATTTTGAGTGATTGGAGGGTAACGGAGTGGTTAGCGCATGGGTCCCCAACAAGGCGGAGTGCTAGATCAATTACCGTCACGGACAATCCCAATATCGAATAGAAACTATATCAATTTTTACTTGAAAATATATTCCTTAAATATGTTTCAAAGTTAAAACAGCCTTATTCGAGCAATGCTGCATTGAATCGAATCTTAAGTCATACCTGTTCGATAAATTTTATTAATAAAAAAATCAAATGGATTGATGGATCAACCGTCGTAAAGAAAAGTCTCAGTCTAACTGCTAATTGGGCGGATGTCTATGAAAGACGTGATCGATTTTTAAGGATTTATGGATCCCTCTCTCCTCATTGATGATATTTAAGACTACCCCGATCTCCACTTGATATTAAGTGTATTTACCTACAAAAAATGTGAAATTTATGATTTTTTTTTGTTTTTCTTTTTAAAATTTAGTTAAAAAATAAATACTCATGATATCTAACTAAAACCCCCTTTCTATACGTGACATTTCGTATTTTTTTATTAAACCCGTCCCCCCTTTTAGGCCTCACGTCATTAATGGACGGTCCCTAGAACGTAAGGTCCTCACTGCTATAAAATATGAGAAACAAATACGAATAATAGGTTTAGTGACAAAGTGCTTTAAAGTAAAAATTTTGTTAATGAACTGTAGTGGTATCCACCCTTTGTAATAATTATAAATAATATTATAAATTACTATATAACAGTCAAATATGAACAACGCAGTTAGTGTGACTCACAGCCTTGCTTACATTGTATGCAGAGATAAGACGCACGTGCAAGTCAGAGTAACGGTTTTTGTAAGGTTTTGCGTCTCAAATAAATAAACTGACTCATATCTAACGAACATTTCTAGAAAATGATTACGTCATCTTGAGAAGGTTATAAAGGCTTGAGGATGATAAAATCATTGTTCATTCTTAATTCATTTTTCAATCACTCCACATCAGTCTTCACCTCAATATATTAATTGTGTATTAAGTTGTAATCAAGTGTAACCGAATAATGAAATAAATAAAGTTAATAAACATCTTCGAATGTTTATTTAAATATTTTCGACAGTGGTAAAGGCTTTAAATGTTAGCAGCAAGAGAACCTAAATTTAAATGTTGACATTGTTGGTGTGACGCAACATAATTGTTGGCAACGGCGAATCCACAACATTTGGTACCAGTGTTGGGATCTCACCATATTTGTTGTTAGCTCTGGGGTGCATACAGAACATAAGAACAGGATTTTTTGCCAAGCTATCGCTCAGTCTTTAAATTAGTCTTAACAATAAATATATCTTTAATTGCCGTCTGTTGCGTGGTATTAATAAAAATAAGTTCGCTTAAAACCGAATTATTATCACAAAACTGAATTGACCATCTCGTATGAAACCGATGCGTACCGATTTCGCCGAGTCTCTGATATGTCGTGTCCTAGTCTCCCCTATCCGCGATGTGAGCCCCGTGCGTGTGTGCG